TTTCAACCAACTTCAATTTAACAACAGTTAATTAATCTACGGATTTAAAAATACTTTTGGCCCTGTTTAAAAATAAAACTCATTGCTAAGTGACTAAAACTTTACATTTCTAAAAAGTCCAAGTTGATTTATGAGAAATTTTTCAGAATGAATGAGAGATCTTCACTAAAATGATTGACGCGGGTATTGCCTGTACCAAGTTATAATGAAATTCAAAAATATTTACCGATTTTTATTATTATTACGCTGCTAATCAGGGTACTGTTCAAATTATTTTTAATGACCATTTTTAATTGATTTAATATGCATTAATTAATTAAATGTACAATTCTTGACTCTATGCGAGTTTATGTATAACATTATTTAAACAATAAGATTTTATTGTTTTCCAGGTTTATGTTCTAAAACAATTAAATAGCAATGCGTAAAAAAATTAATACTCATTTATTAACTAATTTAGATATGGTATTGTTTATAAAAATTTATATTGGAGTATGTAGTTTATTTATGTTTAAAATGATTATGTCGTGCCCACTCTCAACACGACAGACAAGAATGGCACATCTACACAGAAAACAAACACTTTGAGCCCTGAAGATGATCTCAATAAAGATCGAAATGTTGGCACGATAAATGTTTTCTAAAACCTACTTCACACCAGACCGCATCTCACGATCTCCGAATAACTTATGTTTTAAAACAATTAAATAACAATGCGTAAAAAAATTAGTAATTTATTAACTAATTTACAAATGATATTGTTTATGAAAATTTGTATTGGAGTATGTAGTTTATTTATTTTTAAAAAAAGAAACAAACTTTAAAGTGAGTAGCTGCAAAGTCAGGCAAGGGGAGAAGTTTTCATATGGAGATAAATTTTTCACTTTTTTATTAAACTGTAAGAAAATGTTCTCATGTCAACGCATTTCCTCTTTATGTCTTTTTTATATTATTCTTCTAACTTTAAGAACTTGCGGTTTTTCCCTTATTATTTACACACAAAAATATTATCGTCGGCTTTAATGTTTAATATTGATCTTCTTAAGCAGTTTTTTTTTAGTAAGGAAGGCTTTTTTTTATCATCAAAAACTGTCATAGTTTTGTTTTAAATACATTCTAAACAGCGCGGAGGTTTTCTCGTAAATGAATGATATTTAGCATTTAATGTGATATCTAGGCTTCTATTGTGAATTTGCGAGATTGTAAAAAATTCTTTGTGTTTACGCCAATGTAAACATTTTTCATTTACGATGAATAATTTAAGTTTTTATGTGTGGTGTAATTGTAATACATATTGTAGTAGTAGTATTGTACACTATGGTAATTAGTGACCGTTAGTAGATGATTATTCAGAAATCGTGAGATGCGGTATGATGTGATGTAGATATCAGAAAAACATTTTCTTTATCGTGCCAACGTTTCGATCTTTTTTGAGATCATCTTCAGGGCTCTCAACACGACACGCAAAAATGGCACACTTACGCAGAAAACATACACTTTGAGTGAGTAGAAATACTTTGATTGACTATAAAAAATATATTTTTTGCATTGTATAAATTAACTTTTTTCCACATCCCACATGTATTTGTTAAATTTAAACAATGTTTGTAAATCCCAGGCCCTGAAGAGTATCTCAATAATGATCGAAACGTTGGCACTATAAAGAAAATGTTTTTCTGAAACCTACGTCACACCAGACCGCATCTCACGATTTCTGAATAGTTAAGTTTTTATATTTTTTTTTCTTCCTTTTCTGGGGAAGCATGACATATGTAACGGTTTAAGCCAAAATTTAATAAATTTAAGAACGGACTGAAGTGAGAAAAAGGCATCGCTTTTTAGTCAGTTGCCTTCAAGTCACTACTCACGAATGTTCCGTGTGCACTCTTTTGTCAGTTTCTCTCAAGTCACCAATACGCACGACGAGAGAGCAGCTGTGAGGACGAGAGCAGAAGGTAGTTCGTGCGTACTGGCGACTTGGGAGCAACTGAGAACTGACTAAAAAGTGACGTCTCTTTCTACCACCGTTCTTGGATCTACAAAGTTTTCTGCCTAAAAAGAATTTATTTACAGAACGCTTTGCAAAAGAAGGAAAGGATAAAAATTTAAATTATTAACCGTAAATGAACAGTTTACATTACCGTGTACAATTCGAGTAAACAAACAAAACCCAACAAAATAAACATCGGATCATCTAGAATAATATTTTTTCTAATAAAGCCAACATACTCAAATTAATTCATCTTCAGAAGCCTGTATATACTAGAATATTTGTATAAAAACGAAACAATATGAAATAAAAATTAATTCAGTCAGTCAAATTTTAAATAAAATGATGTTTCTTTACTATTGTCATATTCGAAAATTACATTTCAGACATGAAAGTAATATTATAAAATAAAAGCTTTATGTGCAAACAAATCTTTCAAAAGTAATAAGTAATGATTGTTAATACCATAAGTTTTAAAGCAGGTCACTGTTAAAGTGTATTAAAGCATCAATTTTTTATCTCAATATAAACATTTAATATAGATTTAATGCTCCTTATGGTATTAAACTTCATAAATGAGTAATAAACGACAAAATATTTTTTTTAAACAAAATTCATCTTTTTATGATCTCGCAATGTACGACATAGATTAAAAGTATTTTATCTCAACAAACTATAATCGTGTTATAATAAAACTTTGTTTATAGAAAGAGTAGAATAGAAAATATGTGAAATTAATAAACAAAATATTTTGCAATGATATAAATCTTTTTCTAGGTTGTATATAACATTTAACAGAAGTGTTTTACAAACAATTTTTAGCCTTTAACATTCGACACCATTGGTTTATAAGGTATAGTAATAAAAAAGTAACACATTTCTAAGTCGTATAAATGAAATAACTATTGTTTTTCGACGTTAAAATATAAAAACAAATCTGATAATTTTTTGTGGCAATATCGTCAGGACAAACAATGACGAATCTCTACACGGAGCACCTGTAAGCGATGAAAAAACAAGCCTGAACTGCGGTATCAAACTGTTTGATTAATAAATTACGTGATGAGGTTATTAATTTTATGAAATGAATTTAAATTATATTATACTCATTACATGACGAAAGTATAATTTATCGATATATAGATAAACAGTGAAAATTTGATCAACTATAAATATTTATTCAATCCTTTTCCATACGTAGAAGAAAATAAATCCAATTTATTTTTTATTGATTAAAATTTCAATTTAATGGAAATTTTTAAAAATACTTCTGTCGAAAATTATTTGATGGTTTATTTAAAGATAGTGAACTTTTCACTTTTTGTAAATACGATTTTATATTAAATTATTTTTGTCTGATATGGTTAAACCTTAATTTTAAACTGAAAATAGTTTTTAAAAACGAACTGATTTAAAACCAATGTTATTAGTGTTCCTTTTGAAAAAAATATTGAAATTGTCTTTACCAAAAGCTACACGTATTTTTCAGGAAAAATTGAATTATTGATGTTTAAAGGAATCGCTTAATAACTTTTAAATTGTAATAGTTAAAAATTTTCTGTACGTCATAGTAGCTTGTTTATGTTTATATGCTACTCATAGTTTAACATATCTGAGCCCAATGGACTACCCTTCCATACTGTTTGAAATTTAAATTGTCATTGAAAATTTACATCTTAAGAAAACACGAAATATTAAAAAAATATCGTATATTAGTTATCTGCTAATCGTAGTTTAAAATTTAAAAATAAAACTTGGCGATATGAATGCGACACACTTAACTCTTCGTTGTCATTGATTACGATTTCCTAAACACAAATATGTTAAGGAATTGATTTATAAATGTGTTAATTTCAGTACTTTAGTATTTATATTTGAAAAATTTAAGAAGGAAGTTTTACAACTTAGGAATAAAAATGTGTTTTGTAGTGACCTGTTGTTTTATAATTTGTTGAAGTCGTCAGGAGCGGTGAAGATTGAGGTAGTTTAGAAAAACACATTTTTCATTTTTTGCCGACGTTTCGACCTTTATTCGCGTCATCTTCAGGGCCTGGGTAAATTACAAAAATATGATGATTGAAAAAAAAATTTGAGATGTAAATATAAATTTTGAACCAAGTATTTCATACTCACATAAAGTGTGATGCTACTCTCTTGGTGTCATATTGGTTTTGTGTGAAAGTGTTGTGAAACGTGAAATTGTATTCTGCTGTTTTTACAGTATTGTGACAAGGTGGGGGACGCGGTAAATCTGGGAAAATTTCTTTGATCATAGGCGGTTTTATTTAACTCAAAGGAAGACGAGAATGGGGATTTTCCATTCCAGAAAATGTTTTGTAATTTACCCAGGCCCTGAAGATGACCCGAATAAAGGTCGAAACGTCAGGGGGTGGGGCAAATAAAAATGAAAAAGGTGTTTTTCTAAACTACCTCATTCTTGACCGCTCCTCACGGCTCCAACAAATTAGGAATAAAACTTGGCAACTTGACCACTTTCTTATACTGCCTACGGGATTTTGGATTGCCGTTTAATATAAAGATTCCCTAAATATTTATATTTGAAGGAAACTCATAAAGTGACGATTTCAGTACTTTATTATTATTAGTTTTAAAACTCTGGAAGAAGTTTTAGAACCTTGGAATACAATTTGGCAACTTAACCACTCTCGCACACGACTTAAAAGACTTTGATTTGTGGTTTAAAATTAAAAAGCAAATGTAAATTTATGTATAAAGAAAATTCTTTATAAAATGGAACTTTTAATAGTTTAAAAAATGAACATCTTGTTACTCATATGTAAAAAATTTAGGATTAAAATTTGGCATGTGAACCAAACTAACACAGTTTTAGTACTGTCTACACATGATTTACTTTTAATCATTTTTTAAATTTAATGTAAGTAACTTTAAAAACGCGAAAAGTGTTTTACATCAAGGAAGATCAGAATAGGTTTATATATCCTAGAATACCTCTAATAAAAAGACAAATCCTCAAAAGAAATCAACAAACCTAGGCTGGTTGATGAGGCGGACAATCCGAAAATTGAGCCGATATATGATAAAACTTCGGAATGACAAATTTGCGTTTTTCTTTAATTCTCTCGTCGCGCGATCTGTGCGTGGTGCCGATGGTGCACAGGGGTTGCTCTTTCAGCAGAGTTCACAAGGTGACTGAGCTGCCGCCCAACGCCGCTCCCTCCTCGGCCGGCCTCAGTTTTCCCACCCCTATTTAACGGGGATGCGTCCCAGACCCCCGCAATATACCGAAAACCCGCCCCGTCTATTGCTTCAACGGGACACTCCAATTTCGATATCTGGCCGCACGTCGGTCTCGAGGACCCTTGACGGTTTGTTCGGTTAATCGCAATAAAAAGATTTGTTTTTCTGCTCTATTTCCCTCTTCAGTAGAAAATTATCTATGGGGAAAAATTCATTGTATCTTCACAAAATGGAAAACTGTCTATTTGTTACACTGAAAACACGCACTACTTTTATTTAGATTCTGACTTTCGATATGGCAAATAGACAGTCGTACCCATACCACATGTAATATGAAAATATTTACTTAATATGATTCATTTACTTCAATCAATTATTCATTTTGTCTAAGGTTTGTTTCTTGGTTGAGATGAAAAGTTAGTGTCATGAGAGGGATTCGAACCACGACCTTCGGCTATCAAAGTCGCGGATAGCTCAAGTGGTTACAGCAGCGGCGTATTAAGCCAAAGGCCGTGGGTTCGAATCCCGCTCGTGCCATTCACTTTTTCATCTCAACCAAAACCTTAGATTAATTGAAATAAAGTTATGGTCAATCATGACCGATAAACATATATGGATATGTATAATATAATTAATTTACGTTAGAAAACATTATTTCCGATATGATTAATTATCAGCCTACAAATTTTATTTTTAACAATTCTAATTTTATACTAACAAATTCAAATTTTATATTAACAAACGATAAGGGATAAGGCCATTTAGAAAAATAACACTCAGTTTACTTATCGAACTTTAACATCTTTCCTTAATATTTTTCATCCTCTTCATCGGAACCATGATACAATTTTTACTAAATTAAAAATATGTAAAAATTACAAGCCAGTTCTACTAATATTTTTTAAAACAGGGTACGGTCAAATTATGCACCATACTTATTTTAATTAATCATGTTTAATGCTTTATAAAATTTGAATATTGAATAAAAATTCAAACATTTATGGGACCGTAGAGCCAAGTGTTAAGTCGTCCGACTCCTGTTTGCAACGCTTGTGGATCTGGGGTCGAATCCCGTTAGACCTATAATTTTTTAATCGATTCTAGTATTCAAAATGTATTGTAAAACGACAATTGGACGTTTAACTGTACTATATGACAGGAATTAATTTGCCTTACTTTTATCCAAATAATAAATAATTTGAGATTTAGGCCTTTTCCCAATTTGTTATACCATTGAATGCCTGCTAATGTTTGAATAAAAGTTGTGCGTGCAAGATTTCTTTTTTCAAAGGTTTTTGAGGCTGCCGGAGCAGAAAAATGAAATGGAAGAAAATATAAATTGCGGGGGAATAAACTGCAATGCCCAAAATCGCAATTTAAATAAGAAAAATAGCTCCCTAAAAAAAAAAAAGTAAAGAAAAAGAAATGCTATTGTGTTTTGTTTCTTATTATTGTTATGTAGAATTAGTTATCATATTTGAATGGAAGAATAAAAGGATAAGGATGAGCCTATACTCATGCTGAGACTGTTGCTGGTCTGACTCCATTATTATTATTATTAGCCATACAAGCCTACGGGGAATTTTTAAATTATGGAACAAAAATTCACAATTCTAATTAAAAAAAGAAACAGAAATAAATTTCATAATTTTATTAAATTTTATGGAATTTAAAATGGGAATTTTGTATACATTTGGCCTTCCGAATTAAGAATTTTTAAAGAAAAATTAAAGCTTGGATGGCAATAGAATAAATTAGATAACGAGTGAATGTTTGGAGTCAAAGCTTTATAGCATTCAGAAGAGATATAGCTAACCTAAGATAGAAGGTTTGGATGTTAGGGCGTGAAATGACCTTAGCCGTTAAAACGCCCTTAAAAATTAATAATAATAATAATAATAATAATAAATAATTAGTAAGACCAACCTCCGAAGATGGCAACTGACTGGCAACTTCTGCAGAAAGCGATCAAACTGCACGTAAATAGCTGTATGTAGCTAAACTAACACCGTAACTTTTTTGAAACATTGTTATTAATAAATTTTTTCAAAAATGAAACGTGATAGATTCAAATAATAAATAAGTAGACTATTATAGACCAACCTCTGCAGATGGCGAGAAGCCAAAAGGTGTTCGACATAACTAATCAAAAAGGATAGACATATTAAAATTGTTTAGCAATTGTTTAATTGAAGTTTTTTTTTATTATATATCAACCTGGCTGCCGGTGTTATTGGAAAAAAGCCCATTTGGAAGTATGTCCGGTTCGAATGCAGAGCCGCAGGATTCGAACCCGGGACCTTTACCTTACAGTGATGAGCGCCGTGTCAACGCCTAAACCGTTGCGGCCACCGACGCCCCCTCAGAAGTTATTTTGTTGTTTGTGTTTACAGTTCAATCAATCAATGTTTATAGTTCATANTATATATCGTTTTCTATCAACTATCAAAAAAACATCGATTCTACAAAAAAAAATATATATACATATATATACACACTTATATATAGTATATACTTTTAGATCCTTACTGCAGAAAAATATATATTATATATAAACATATATAAAACGCTACTATATTTTCTGACCAAAATAATTTTTCTACAATAAGGATCTAAAAGTATATACTATATACAAGTGTGTATATATATATTGTTATATTACATTATATATGTTGTAATGGTTTTAAAAAATTTTAAATAAAAATATTGCACTCACTTCTCGTAGAAACATTGAATCATGGATAATCATTTAACTTTAGTCCTATTTACTAACATTGCCTAACCCCAACCCCATTTAACCTAATCAATCCCTAACCCAAACATTGCCTAACTTATTTAACCTGTCCCCTACCCTAACCTCGTAACGTTACCCGAATCTAAACCCAAGTTAACCTAATCCGATCCATGCGCACTCCCTAGTAACGCAAAAATATACACACACGAAAATTTCATATGTGGGCAAAAAATATGTCCACGTTAAAAACAGCGTAACCTACACTAACACAGCTCAATCTAGCCCTTCCTAACCCAGTTGTTAATAAGAGGTGTGGCGTTTTTTTTTCATGTAAGAATTAACAACGATTACTTTACTAATATTGAGTAAAATGAAAAATTGTAATTTTAACTGTCTTTTTTAATTTAAAATAATAACTTAAGTAATAAAAGGAGTAACAGGCATTCCCTTTCAGTGGAATAGAATTTGAGTCCAAATCCTCTCATTTCGCACCCTGTGCCAGAATTAGATAAGTGTTTAACCCATAAAAACAAAACGGTTTAGGGACAATTAAATTTTATTTCCGTCTCTTCAAGGTTCTTTAAACCAAATGGAGTGGAATATAAAAAAAAGAAGGCTCAGATAGGTGAGGAGGTTCAAAAAACATTTAGGAAAATCGTATTTATACCAAGTAGGATTACTTAGCCAATCTTCAAATTGAATCCACTTAACTTTCTCTTCTTCAATAACACAGATGAAATCAAATTTATATTTCGCTTTGCGTTTTTGTTTGGACAACATCTGTTTAAAGAGATAAAATCTCTTTCCTGGACTTTCACAAAAATATTTTGTTGATAGCTACAGCCGTTTCTTAAAGATTTCCGATAAACAGGATTACTAGCTATTACGTACGGATTGCTGGCGTTAGTAATATTTACAAATTAAAATTCTGGTTCACGCTGTGAAAATTTCAATCTAATAAAAGTGCTGACCGCTGAAACACCCTTTCTCCGGGCGTGGGAGAGGGAAAGAGAGATTTGTCCCGGGTAATTCCCTTAAAACCCCAACCGCACAGCATTAAGAAAACTGCTGGCAGATAACTGTAAAAGTAAATGGGTTTTGACTAATGAATTACAGCCGGGCGGAGAAAGCCGAGCGTAGATAAGCTTCTTATCCTTTGTTTCGACCGAACGTGTAAATTATCAAAATAAAGGGCGGAATCCGGAATGACGTGGTTGAAACGAAGGAATTGCAGATTCACTTTCATTCCATTCTGTAGACATTCAAGCTAGAACTAAATTATGTATGCCTTTTTAATACGTGATGTAGCGTGCTTCTGGGCATTAGAGCAGTATTGTATGCTGTTACAATAGAATAGAATAATTTTATTATCATTCATTTACAATAGTTTAGAATTTAAGGTAGGCATAATATAATTCTTTGGCTAGTAAATAGGTATCTCCTGATTAGACAATTAAAATACAAAGAGAGTAGTGTGACCGATTTCCTTTTTCAGTGATACTAGGTGAAAATGGGCCTTAGGAGCCGTGAAAAAATATTTAATAATTTAAATCATTTTGTTTAACATGGATATCTGCCTGTTTTTTAGCAAGTACTTCAAAACTAAAAATCATAAAAGCATTTAAATCTGGAAGAAAATAATGTACAGGAACGTACAAAATAAAATTAGATACACAAAATGTTCAAAAACGAAAAGACGCAAACTTAGTCCAAAATATTGTTTCTTAAAAAACGTTCATATTTGTTTTAATCACCCCTTAAAACCCTTAAGAACGAATTTTTCTAGCAAACATACATTTATAACTATTATGGTTGTGCCCAATGTTCACGGTATTGCTATCATCGTTAAGCTGGTTTTTTATGATTACTTTGTTTATTTCTTTTTATTTACTTTATTTTTTAAGTTTATTATTGTGGGTAAATCAAATACGTTTCGTTTTTGGCAGTATAAATGAGAAAAAGATGGATAGCCTGTATCTCTGTATGTCTGATGAGAAAACTAATTCAATACTTTTCTGCCAAGCTTTCGATATATCATTCATCAGGGGTAAAAAAACAATCTTAAAGATGTCTACAAATTGACATCACATAAGTTTTTATAAACTCTTTAAAATTTCTTTGAAGAAATCTTCTAATCAAGAAGAAAGAAAGAATCATCACTTCATTTGATTTTGTATGGTTTATCGTATTTATGATGTAAACACTTATTCCTCCTATGAAAATAGAAATGTAGATTTACTGTATTAAAACATGAACAAATAAAAAACCGCAAAAACTTTTCTAGTTAGTTGGCCTACTAATTCAATTGTCAGAAAGCTCAAGGCGTTTCATTCATTATGCGGTT